CCCCAAAAAACCCCAAACCTCCCCAAAAATCCCCAAACCCCCCCCTGCAGACCCCCACCACCGGGACCTTTACCTGAACAGCAGCGACTTCCTGGCGCTGCTCAACGACGAGAGGCTGCACCCCAACGCCTCAGGTGAGCCCCAAAAATCCCCAAAAACCCCCCAAAAACCCAAAAAACGGCCCCAAAATCCCCCAAAAAACCCCGAATTGCCCAGAGTGGAAGCGGAACCTGCTGCGGATCCAGCGCCTGGTGCTGATCGGGGGCCCCGACGACGGCGTCATCACCCCCTGGCAGTCCAGGTGAGACCCCAAAACCCCCCAAAATCGACCCAAAATCACCCCAGAATTACCCCCAAACCCTCCTGGGAATGTGCCTAAAATTCCCCTAAAAATCACCCAAGAAACCCCCAAAAATTGCCCCAAGATTACCCCAAAAAAAACCCAAAATTGCCCCAGAATTATCCCAAAATCCTCCTGGAAATGTGCCTAAAATTGCCCCAAAAATTGGAAGCGGAACCTGCTGCGGATCCAGCGCCTGGTGCTGATCGGGGGCCCCGACGACGGCGTCATCACCCCCTGGCAGTCCAGGTGAGACCCCAAAACCCCCCAAAATCGACCCAAAATCACCCCAGAATTACCCCCAAACCCTCCTGGGAATGTGCCTAAAATTCCCCTAAAAATCACCCAAGAAACCCCCAAAAATTGCCCCAAAATTACCCCAAAAAAACCCCAAAATTGCCCCAGAATTACTCCCAAATCCTCTTGGAAATGTGCCTAAAATTGCCCCAAAAATTACCCCAAAATCACCCCAAAATTGCCCTAAAACTACCTCAGAATTACCCCAAAATCACCCCAGAATTACCCCCAAATCCTCCTGGAAATGTGCCTAAAATTACCCCAAAAATCACCAAAAAAAACCCCCAAAATTACCCCAAAATTGCCTACAAATCCTCCTGGAAATGTGCCTAAAATTACCTAAAAATTACCCCAAAATCGCCCCAAAATCACCTCAAAATTACTCCCAAATCCTCTTGGAAATGTGCCTAAAATTGCCCCAAAAATCACCTGAAAATAACCCCAAAAAAACCCCAAAATCGCCCCAAAATCACCCCAGAATTACCCCCAAACTCTCCTGGGAATGTGCCTAAAATTGCCCCAAAATCACCTCAAAATTGCCCCAGAATTATCCCCAAATCCTCCTGGAAATGTGCTTAAAATTGCCCCAAAAAAAACCCAAAAATCACCCCAAAATTACCCCCAAATCACCCCCAAACTCTCCTGGAAAAGTCACTAAAATTTTCCAAAAAATCTTCCCAAAAAACCCAAAATTGCCCCAAAATCCTTCTTGAACCCTCCATGAAACATCCCAAAAATCCTCCCCAAAATCCTCCCAAAAAATCTCAAAATCCCTCCCCAAAAAATCCCAAAAACCTTCCCCAAAACTTCTCCCAAAAAATCCCCAAAATCCCCTCAAAAAAATCCCAAAAAATTTCCCCAAAAATCCCTGAAATCCTCCCAAAAAAAATCCCCCAAAAATCTAAAAAAAAAATTCCCGTAATTCCCCAAAATTGCCCCCAAAAATAAAAAAAAATCCCAAAAAAATCCTCAAAATTCCCCCCAAAAAGTCCCCAAAATTCCCCCCAAAAATCTAAAAAAAATCCCCAAAAAATCCCCGAAATTGCCCCCAAAAATTCAAAAAAATCCCCAAAAAATCCCCAAAAAAATCCCCAAAAAATCCCAAAAATTCCCCCAACCCCCCAAGGACCCCCGGGACCTTTTGGGGTCTCCCCACATTTGGGGTCCCCCCCGTGACCCCCGAATTTCCCCGCAGCCTCTTTGGGTTCTACGACGCCAACGAGACCGTGCGGGACATGGAGGCGCAGCCGGTGAGGGCACCCCGAAATTCGGGAGGGGGACCCGAAATTTGGGGTTGGGACCCAAAAATTCGGGATTGGGACCCCAAAATTTGGGAGGAGCCCCTCAAATTTGGGATTGGGAACCCAAAAATTTGGATTGGGACCTCAAAATTTGGGAGGGGGACCCCAAAATTTGGGAGGGGCCCCTCAAATTTGGGGTTGGGACCCCAAAAATTGGGGTTGGGACCCCAAAATTGGGGTTGGGGACTCAAAAGTTTGGGATTGGGATCCAAAAATTGGGGATTGGGAGTCGAAAATTTGGGGTTGGGGACCCAAAATTGGGATTGGGGACCCCGAAATTTGGGATTGGGACCCCAAAAATTGGGGTTGGGACCCCAAAATTGGGGTTGGGGACTCAAAAGTTTGGGATTGGGATCCAAAAATTGGGGATTGGGAGTCGAAAATTTGGGGTTGGGGACCCAAAATTGGGATTGGGGACCCCGAAATTTGGGATTGGGACCCCAAAAATTGGGGTTGGGACCCTGAAATTCAGGATTGGGACCCCAAATTTGGGGTTTGGGACCCCGAAATTGGGATTGGGATCCAAAAATTGGGATTGGGACCCTGAAATTTGGGGTTGGGACCCAAAAATTGGGGTTTGGGTGCCAAGATTTGGGCTGGGGACTCCAAAAATTGGGGGTTGGGACCCCGAAATTTGGGATTGGGAGTCCAAAATTTGGGGTTGGGGACTCAAAATTTGGGATTGGGACCCCAAAAAATGGGGGTGGGGGGGGACACCAAAATTTGGGGTATTTTGAGGATATTTTTGGGGATTTTTGGGATACTTCCAGGATATTTTGGGGATATTTTCAGGGCATTTTCGGTGTATTTTTGGGATATTTTCAGGATATTTTTGGGGTGATTTTCAGGCTATTTTCAGGGTATTTTGGGGTGATTTTCAGGATATTTTCAGGATATTTTCAGGGTATTTTTGAGGTGATTTTTCAGGATATTTTCGGGATATTTTCAGGTTATTTTTGGGCGATTTTCAGGATATCTTCAGGGTATTTTCAGGGTATTTTTGGGGTGATTCTCAGGATATTTTTAGGGTTTTTTCAAGGTATTTTCAGGATATTTTCAAGATGTTTTTGTTGTATTTTTCAGTGTTTTTACTGATTTTTTCCCCCCTCCCAGGTGTTCCTGCAGGACACGTTCGGGCTGAAGTCGCTCTGGGCCCGGGGGGCTCTCGGGGGCTGCTCCGTGCCCGGGGTCCCGCACACGGCCTGGCACAGCCACAGGGGGGTCTACGAGCGCTGCATCCGCCCCTGGCTCACCTGAGGGGCATCTGTAGGGTTTTATTGGGATTTATTGGGATTCATTGGGGTTTCTGTGGGGCTGGCACAGCCACAGGGGGGTCTACGAGCGCTGCATCCGCCCCTGGCTCACCTGAGGGGTCTATAGGGGATCTATAGGGGATCCATAGGGTTTTATTGGGGTTTGATTGGGATTTATTGGGATTTATTGGGGTTTTATTGGGATTCATTGGGGTTTCTGTGGGGCTGGCACAGCCACAGGGGGGTCTACGAGCGCTGCATCCGCCCCTGGCTCACCTGAAAACCTGCTATAGGGGATCTGTAGGGTTTTATTGGGGTTTTATTGGGATTTATTGGGATTTATTGGGGTTTTATTGGTATTTATTGGGGTTTTATTGCAGTTTATTGGGATTTATTGGGATTCATTGGGGTTTCTGTGGGGCTGGCACAGCCACAGGGGGGTCTACGAGCGCTGCATCCGCCCCTGGCTCACCTGAGCACCTGCTATGAGGGATTTATAGGGTTTTATTGGGGTTTTATTGGGATTTATTGGGGTTTGATAGGGATTTATTGGGATTTATTGGGGTTTTATTGGGATTCATTGGGGTTTCTGTGGGGCTGGCACAGCCACAGGGGGGTCTACGAGCGCTGCATCCCCCCCTGGCTCACCTGAGCACCTGCTATGGGGGATCTATAGGGTTTTATTGGGGTTTGATTGGGTTTTATTGGTATTTATTGGGGTTTTATTGCAGTTTATTGGGGTTTTATTGGGATTCATTGGGGTTTCTGTGGGGCTGGCCCAGCCACAGGGGGGTCTACGAGCGCTGCATCCGCCCCTGGCTCACCTGAGGGGTCTGTAGGGGATTTATTGGAGTTTTATTGGGGTTTATCAGGTTTTTATTGGGATTTATTGGTATTTATTGGTATTTATTGGGGTTTATAGGGTTCTCTAAGGGACTTATAGGGGATCTATAGGATTTTATTGGGATTTATAGGGGTTTTATTGGGGTTTATTGGGGTTTATAGGGTTCTCTAGGGGATCTATAGGGGATTGATGGGGTTTTGTTGGGACTTGTTGGGGATTTATGGGGCTGGGGGCGTTCTGTAGGGGATCCACTGGGATCTATGGGGGATCTGTGGGGTTTATAGATTTCTGTGGGGTCTTTAGGGGGTGTGTAGGGGATCTGTAGGGGATTTTGAGTCCTGTAGGGGATTTTGGGTCCCTATAAGGGATCTGGGGTCTCTGTAGGGGATTTGGGGATCTATAGGGTCCCTATAAGCTCTATAGGGGGGTTGGGGGTTCTGTAGGGTCTCCATAGGGTCCCTATAGGGGATTTGGGGTCTGTAGGGGGTCTGGGGTCTCTGTACAGAATTTGGGGTCCCTATAAGGGATCTGGGGTCCCTATAGAGCATTTGGGGTCTCCATAGGGTCCCCATAGGGGGTCTGGGGTCTCTTTAGGGGATTTGGGGTCCCTGTAGGGGATTTGGGGTCCCTGTAGGGGGTCTGGGGTCCCTGTAGGGGATTTGGGGTTCTGTGGGGTCCCTACGGAGGATTTGGGGTCCCTGTAGGGGATTTGGGGTCCCTGTAGGGGATTTGGGGTCTCTTTAGGGGATTTGGGATCCCTATAGAGGATTTGGGGGTTCTATAGGGGATTTGGGGTCCCTGTAGGGGATTTGGGGTTCCTGTAGGGGATTTGGGGTCTCTATAGGGGATTTGGGGTCCCTGTAGGGGATTTGGGGTCCCCATTAGGGGGTCTGGGGTCTCTTTAGGGGATTTTGGGTTCTTTGGGGTCCCCACAGGGTCTCTGGGCTCTCCCCCATTTTTGGGGGTCCCAGGGTGGGGGGAGGGGCCGGTTCAGTATTGGGGGGGCTCTATAGGGGGAGGGGCTCCTGTAGGGGGTGGGGTTTTTTTGGTTTTTTTTGTATTTTTTGTGATTTTTTTTGAGGTTTTTCGATGCGGTTTTGGCGAAAATTTTGGGAGGAATTTGGGGGATTTGGTTTTTTTTTTTAATTTTTTTGGGGGGATTTTTTGGGATTCTTTTTTGGGTGGGTGGGGGGGGGGTTGGGAGTTTTTGGGGGTTATTTTGGAGATTTTTTGTGTTTTCTCAGGGGGTTTCCGGAGGTCTCTGTGTGTTCTGGGGGCTGAGGGGGATTTTGGGGCATTTTGGGGCATTTGGGGATTTTTTGGGAATTTTTGGGAGGGATTTTGGGGTGGTTTGGGGTTTTTTCCTGGGGTTTTTTTTTTGTTTTTTTGCTGTTTTGGGGGCTGAGTTTGGGAGTAATTTTGGGGCTGATTTTGAGATGATTTTGGGACGATTTGTGGGTGATTTGGGTCTGGTTTGAGGACTGAATTTGGGCTGATTGGGGCAGATTTTTGTCAATTTTGGGGCTGATTTTGTGTTGATTTTGAGCTGTTTTGGGGCTGATTTTTCCTGATTTTGGGGCTGGTTTTGGGGTTGATTTGGGGCTGATTTGGGGATAATTTGGAGCTGATTTGGGGCTGGTTTTGGGGTGATTTTTCCTGGTTTTGGGGCTGATTTTGGGCTGATTTTTGCCGATTTTGGGGCAGACACGGATTACCTGAAGTGGCTTTTTCCCCGGCACATGAAATCCAACCTGTACCGGCTCTGCTACACCCCCCTGGGCCAGGGCGTGTCCATCTGCAACTACTGGAATGGTCTGGGCCCAAAAACCCCCAAAAACACCCCAAAAATCCCCCCCAAAACCCCCCTGGGCCAGGGCGTGTCCATCTGCAACTACTGGAATGGTCTGGGCCCAAAAACCCCCAAAACCACCCCAAAAATCCCCCCCAAAACCCCAATCCCCCCCGCAAAAAACCCAAACCCCATCAAAAAACCACCAAACCCCCCAAAAAAACCCCCCCCCCCCCTCCCCCACCGACTCAGGGATTTGGGGGCCCCTCCCCCCACGGCCTAAAGGGGGCGGGGCCAATTTTTTGGGGGGGCGGGGCCACGGCCAATAAAGCACTTCCCCTCCCCCACCCGAAATGAGTCTGGGGGATCTTTTGGGGGGGTCCCGGGGGGATTTTGGGGGTCAAAAATTCCCCTCCCCCACTTCCCACCAGAGCCCCGCCCACTCCCGGTGAAACCCCGCCCATTTCATGAGACCACGCCCCTTATTCTTTTCCAGGCTTTTTATTGGTTCAAATCCGATGTCAATCAAAGGGGAGGGGGAGGGGTTAAAGGGGAAATTTGGGGGGAATTGGGGCGGATTTGGGTGAATTTTGTCAATTTTGGGTGAATTTGGAGCCATTTTCAGTGAATTTTGGCCAATTTGGGTCAATTTTTACCATTTTGGGTGAATTTGGGGCAGTTTGGGTGAATTTTGCAGATTTTGGGTGAATTTGGGGCAAATTTCAGTGAATTTGGACCATTTGGGGTGAATTTTGGGCAGTTTCAGGTACAAAATTGGGGCAATTTTGGGGTGAATTTGGGGCACTTCTGGCTACAAAACAATTCTGGGTGAATTTGGGGCTATTTTGGGTGCAAAATTGGGGCGAATTTGGGGCACTTTTAAGCACAATATTGAGACAATTTTGGGTGAATTTGGGGCACTTTAAGGTACAAAACTGGGGCAGTTTTGGGTGAACTTGGGGCATTTTTGGGGTACAAAACTGGGGCAATTTTGGGTGAATTTGGGGCACTTTAAGGTACAAAACTGGGGCAGTTTTGGGTGAACTTGGGGCATTTTTGGGGTACAAAACTGGGGCAATTTTGGGTGAATTTGGGTCACTTTTGGCTACAAACTCGGGATGAATCCGGGGCTGGTTGGGGCCGTTCCGGGGCGGATTTTGGGGTTTTTTTGCGGGATTTTTTTAGGGTTTTTTGGCGTTTTTTTGGGGTATTTTTGCCCGGAGCCGGGGGAGCCCAGAAGGGGGAGGGGGTCAGGGGGTTTGGGGTCACTGCAGTAAAAAACTATAAAACCCAACAAAAACCTAAAAATCCCCAATAAATCCCCATTCAAACCCTGTAAATCCTAATGAAACCCTACAAAAACCCATAAAACCCAATCAAGCACCAATGAACCCCTATCAAACCCCAATAAAAGCCTATCAAACCCTATCAAACCCAATCAATCCCCAATCAAACTCTATGAATCCCCAATAAAACCCAATAAACACTATCAAACCAAATCAAACTCTATCAAACCCCAATAAACCCCAATAAAACCTTATCAAACCCCAATAAAAACGAATAAATCCCTATCAAACCCCAATAAAACCCTATCAAACCCCAATCAAACCCCAATCAAACTCTATGAATCCCCAATAAAACCCAATAAACACTATCAAACCAAATCAAACTCTATCAAACCCCAATAAACCCCAATAAAACCTTATCAAACCCCAATAACCAATAAAAACGAATAAATCCCTATCAAACCCCAATAAAACCCTATCAAACAAACCTTATCAAACCCCTATAAATCCTTATCAAACCCCAATCAAACCCCAATAAACCCTATCAAATCCCAATCAAACCTCATCAAACCCCAATAAAACCTTATCAAACCCCTATAAATCCTTATCAAACCCCAATCAAACCCCAATAAACCCTATCAAACCCCAATAAACCCCAATAAACCCTATCAAAACCCCAATAAAACCCTAATAAACCCTATCACCAATAAACCCCAATCAAACCCAATTAAACCTTATCAAACCCAATCAAAGCCCACCCCAGCTCCTCCCCGGGGCGGATGTGGCGGCTGCTGAAGAAGGCGATGCGGGGGAAGCGCAGGTCCTGGTGTAACATGAACACCTGGCACCCCAATAAACCCCAATAAACCCCAATAAACCCCAATCAAACCCAATTAAACCTTATCAAACCCTATCAAAGCCCACCCCAGCTCCTCCCCGGGGCGGATGTGGCGGCTGCTGAAGAAGGCGATGCGGGGGAAGCGCAGGTCCTGGTGTAACATGAACACCTGGCACCCCAATAAACCCCAATAAACCCCAATAAACCCCAATAAACCCCAATTAAACCCAATCAAACCCAATTAAACCTTATCAAACCCTATCAAAGCCCACCCCAGCTCCTCCCCGGGGCGGATGTGGCGGCTGCTGAAGAAGGCGATGCGGGGGAAGCGCAGGTCCTGGTG